GGGAAAGAATGCGATCTTTGTGAAGTGTCATACTGGAAATACCCACACCATTACCTTTACCATTTAAGTGCGTTATTGGTTTTGAACAATAGTCTGTAAAAAACCTGGGTAACCTACCCCAGCAGTATCCTGTCAACGGCAACGTTAGTGGAAGACGCAATCAGAAGTTTCCATGGAGCTGGCCTTGGACCCTCCGTAGCTTCACTGCTTTCAAAGAGCTGTACTAGGAACAAGATCACAACAGACAGCAGATAGCTCTTTCCAGCTCCAAAAACACCTGGTATTTTGGAAGAAAAAGCCAAAGTTACAGGTGAAAATTCTCGAGAAAGTACAGGTTTAATCAACTGTTAAAACTTAAGTTTATCTTATGAAATACTACCCTGTAAAAAACATGGCACGTGCTTGCTTCAGCAGCTCGAAGCATCCAGGGGCAATGAGGTGCCTTACATTCGCATTTACTGCCTGCGATAAGTTGACAAAAAAACTACAGAGGAGGGGAAGCTATGGTCTTTTTCCTACATTTTCTGGTTGAATCCGTGCATTACTTGCTAAGGAGTCTCATTGGTACGTTAAAAGAATACAAGTATCTGCATGCACATCCCTCATATCACATCCTTGGGTACAGAATAAGGGATCTGAGAGATGATGATTTTGGAATGACTAATAAGTTTAGCTAGATGAATATGCCTGACAGCCTAACAAAAGCTCAGGCAATTGAAGTCTAGTGGTGTCTGTACTAAGAGTGTCATTATCGTCAACCTCTTTACTTTGACAGGATCTGAAAACTTATGTTTATGGCAACTGCTTTTCAATACCGATTTAAAAAAAATAATCTTCAAACTAAGATGTGACTAGCCTTTTTGTACATGTTGAAACGGGATGAAACAGATAGAAGGAAGTATAAAGCAGCAAAGAACAACGTGTAACAGAAAAAAATTATATGATAATTTAGCAAAGCTGATACACGACAAAGAGTTTTTAATATGAAAAGAACCAAGCAGAAGATGCTAAATAACTCCTGATTTTGTGTATGGATCTTGCTGGGACAGAGTTCTACACTTATGTAAAATCCTGCAAAAGGCAGGATGCAAATTCAAGGATCAAAAGCTCTGATCTGATAGAATGGATGTTGTTATGTGAAGGTCATTATCAGAGGAGCCTCATCGAAGAAAAATGAATTTTCAGGAAATGCATGAAGTAGGCGAGGAGAGCGGCGTTACACAGAGGCAGTTTATTCAAGCTCATCTTTTGCGCTACATTTAAAAATAAGTCAACATTTACCTAGATGTAAGAATCTCCCTTTGCATCTGCTTGGAACTGTAAATGTATGATTACGGAAACAAGTCTGTTTCATCACTGAGAGAATTTAGGGATATTTCATTAACAATGGCATTACATATTAATTAGCATTTTTGCAAAGGTACGATAGCAGCAGATCTCACAGTTATTTGGTCTATACCTCGTATGATTGTGATAGGGAAGATCTGACGTTCTTCCGCTGCTTTGGTGTTTTCACATGAGGTCATCATCTGAGCTACCTGAATCAGCGACGTAGCTTGATCGGGGTTCAAGGAGAACGTTTGGATCATCTTTTTAGCTAGTTCCATTGCCACTTCGGTGCTGACAGGTCCAGACATCATTGTGCGCTTCAGGCTGACGGCAGGTGGAATAAATTTTCTTTTGTTGACTCTATTAGTAGCGTTTTCAGACTCAAAATTCCTAAGAAAAATACAATGGTGAAAACTTGCAGTATAATACTGCGTATGTATAATTTGTATCTCACGGCTCTGATACTCCTACTCACCTGACATTGAAATGCTGAGGCTTTATGATTAACAGCTGACAGAATTACAAGTTGCTGCCCCTTGCACCCTGACATATGCCTGGGCTGTATATTACTTCCCTGGGTAAAAGGTGGATCATATCAAAGAGGGTTTTATCGTTCTTGCCATGTATGTTAACGCTTTCAATCTGACTTACTCCAAGGCTGTGAGACTGACAGAACTAAGAGTGGCAGAAGAACGTAGTCAGAGGTAGCATTTAATTACTTGTTTTATATAGTGAATATCCCTATATTGCTCCGATTCTCCAAGAAAATATTTTATTTTTAGGTTTTGTCAA